AAGGAAGAATAGTTGGGCTTGACTTATGTTAGAGAAGGGACTGGGAAGAGACTGTTAATTATTGAGCCCCCTTATTTCCTTGATATTGTCTTACAGGCTTAGTATGAATAACAACAACAATAACAGCAGTAGCGGGTATTTTTTATTGAGCACTGTGTGCTTAGTGCTCAAAACATGTAAAATACTTTATTATCTAATGTATCTTTTCAGGTATAGGCAATAGGTACAGTCAATATCATTTAATATATGAATAAACTAATACTTAAGATCAATAATTTGCTAAGGTCCCCAACTAAGAACTGCCAGATTTGGGATTTGAACTACTATCTACCTTTTCCATATGTCTTGCTATCTTCTTTGGCCACCCAGGTAATTCATTCTGACTTTCACCTTTTCTATGGCATAGATAAGTCAGTTCCTGTGAAGAAACTTTTCTAGAGGATTAAGTATTTTACTGTGATCCAACCACTATTGCTCATTTGTGTGGACTACTTCCAGTAAGCGACTTCCCTTTGATCTGTTCTACTCTAAGGCTGGAAGAGAAGTGAAAACTGAGAATCAAAATTAAGTAATGAGATAATACTGTGTTTTTCAGAGCAGCACATTAATTTCTGATGACCAGATCAAGCCTAATTCTTGATCTCTATCAAGTTTAAGCAAATTTGCCTGTTTGTATTCACCATTTTTACCATGGATAGGTTGTTCTATGCCTGTTTGCCTGTGTTGTTCATTGTTAATGGGAGGCTGTCTGCCTAGCTTTCCTTAACAGGAATGGTTTTCAGGTTGAGAAAATCATCATCATTTTCACTCATTTTTTGGTTTAATTAACTTCCTTTCCTGATGTTTGTCCATTCCTGGTATGTGCATCACCTTCCTCACCCAAGACTATGCTGAACAGGTCCGAAACTTGCAGAAGATAAAAGAGAAGCTTGAAATTGCATTAGAAAAACACCAAGATTGTACGTATTTTGTTTCCTGGTTTTTTTTTTTTTTTTCAATCTTTTCAGGGTTTAGATTTTTTAAATGAAACAGTAGTATATGATTAAGTTTGTCCTTTACAACTCAGATCTTTATTTTATAAATAGTATACTTCTTAATCAGGTTGAGAAAACATTTGTTTGGTATTTGTAAGTATAAACACAACTTATTTGTATTTTGCCTTATGGGCATGCTTCCTAGAAGGAGGTCATTACATAGACCAGTTGGTCTCACTGAGTTGACACGTTCATTGGCCACCCTTAGATTTTAGTAAAATTTAGTACCTGACCCTTGGTTCTAGATTAGGAGATGGGTTCTAAGCATAGCTTCATTATTGCTGTATGGAATATCTGGGGGAGCTCCGTTATCAGTCTCCCAATGATAAAACATACATTTGGTTTAGTCTACCTTAAGTACGTTCTCTTTTAGGGGCCCTCTAAAAAAGATGTTAGTGAAAGTAGGAAGTTATTGGGAACCAGCAGTTAGCGTATTGGCTATGTCACTGGACTCCCACGTAGCTGACCACGGTTCGCGTCCCGGACCCGGTGGCTTAGAACTCACGCCAGGCGCGTGTGCGTGCGTGCCCAAGATCCCAAGAGGAAAATGGAGGAGAAGGGATTGCGGCGTGACCATCCTCTCTGGGGGGTGATTTCTGGCTTTCTGTCTCTATGTCTCTCTCTGTCTGTCTGGTGAGCGTACACGCCCTATAGCGAAAACCTCTCAAAAAAAAAAAAAAAAAAAAAGTAGGAAGTTATTTGTTTTGTTAGTATATAATGTACTAAAATTTTTAAAGGAAAATAAAATAAAGGTTTTTGTTTTTTTTTGTTTTTTTTTTTACTTTGTTTTTTGTTAATTCTCACAAAGTAGTAGTAGCCATCACAGAGCAATAGCTTTGGTATTTTCTGGCAACCTACTTAATTCAGTGTTCCATTATAGTAGCATTTAAAAAGTTACCTTTTGGAATCTACTTAAATATATTCACTGACTATTACAAAAAAACAAAAATAACAAATAAACAAAGCAACTGGTCTATTACTAAGGCCAAAAGAGTCTTCTAAGAAGTCAAGATGATCAGGCTTTTCCCAGTCTCATAATCTACTTATGTGAATTTGGTCTTTATCGTTAAGTGATAATTATAAACTAATCACATGGGCTATTTGTCACATTGTTTTTGAAGTACTTCCATATCTGAAATAGAGCCTCTTTGTTAACAGCTTCCATGAGGAAATTTCAAGAGCAGAATGAGACATTCCAAGCCAACAGAGCCAAAATGGCAGAAGGACTGGCGTTGGCATTAGCCAGAAAGGACCAGGTATTTTATACATGGCACCCCCAAGATTGTTGGAAATATCTCACTTAGTGGCATGATTTCAAAAATCATGACAGGGGGACCAGCAGTTAGCGTAATGGTTATGTCACTAGACTCCTACGTAGTCGACCGCGGCTCGAGTCCCAGACCCGGTGGCTTAAACTCAACGCCGGGCACGTGTGCGTGCGTGCCCGCCCACGATCCTGAGAGGAGAATGGAGGAGAAGGGATTGCGGTGTGGCCATTCCTCCTGGGGGATGATTTCTCACTTTCTGTCTCTCTGTCTCTCTCTCTTTCTGGCGAGTGCATGCACCCTATAGCAAAAACCTCTCCAGAAAACAAAAACAAAGACCATGACATAGGAGCCAACAGGTGGCATGGTAATTGAGGCACTGGACTTCCACATGGCAAACCATGGTTTGAATCTCAAATCTGGTAGCTTGAAAATCATACTGGTTGCATATGCCTGTGTGCCCAAAATCCTGAGAGGAGAAGGAATTGTGTGGCCATCCTCCCTGAGAGTTGATTTCTCACTTTCCCTCCCTTTGTTTCTCTCTGTCTCTCTGGCAACCACATGTGTCCTATGGCAAAAACCTAAAAAAAAAAAAAAGACATAAACCCGGTAATAAATATTTGTGATGTAGGAAACAGGGAATGATATATAAATTCTTTAAGATTTCATTATAAAGTAAAAAAATTTACAATTTTAATCGTGAAAGTATCTAGAATGTGAGAGTATCATTCTTGGCAACTTTGTAGTTTTATAAAATTTAGACAGGAAATAGCTTGTTGTTACCTGACAGTGAGACCCAAACTAAGCAAAGAGGTCTCTGACCTCTAAAAACCTGTCTCAAAGCCTTAAACCCAAAACACTTGCCTGCATTCTACTGGTTGTGGAAGTATTTTCCTTGCAAAAAAGTTGTTGAGATGCTTGAAGAAGTAGTAGTAGGTTCATTAGAGGTTAGGTGAATATGGCAGATGATGCAAAACTTATTAGACCAATTCATTCATCTTTTGAAGCGTTGGTTGTATGATACGCATTTGGGCGTTGTCATGGAGAACTGGACCCTTTCTGTTGACCAGTGCTGGCTGCAGGCTTTGCAGTTTTTGGTGCATCTTGTTAATTCACTGAGCATACTTTTCAGGTGTAATGGTTTTTCTGGAATTCAGAAAGGATCAGACCCTTGGGAACCAGCAGTTAGCGTAATGGCTATGTCGCTGGACTCCCACATAGTCGACCGCGGTTCGCTCCCTGGACCCGGTGGCTTAAAAAAACTCACGCTGGGCATGTGTGCGTGCGTGCCCAAGATCCCAGGAGGAGAATGGAGGAGAAGGGATTGCGGCGTGGCCATCCCGCCTGGGGGGTGATTTCTCGCTTTCTGTCTCTATGTCTCTCTCTGTCTGTCTGGCGGGCGCGTGCACCCTATAGTGAAAATCTCTCCAAAAAAAAAAAAGAGAAAGGATCAGACCCCACCAAACAGTGACCATGACCCTTTTTCAGTACAGGTTCGGGTTTAGAAAGTGCTTTGGAACTTTTTCTCAGTCCAACTGTCATCAGTTGTGTAAAATCAAGTTTTTGTCACATGTCATAATCCGATCAAGAAATGGTTTGCTATTGTGTAGAATAAGAGAAGATAGTACTTCAAAACAAGTTTTTTTTTTTTTTTTTTTTTAATTTTCACTCAGCTCATGAGATATCCACTTAACAAACTTTTTCACCTTTCTAATTTACTTCAAATGCCAGACAACCATAGAATGGTTGACGTTGAGTTCTTCAGCAGCTTCTTGTGTAATTGTAAGAGGATCACCTTCCATGATTGCTCTCAGTTGGTCATGTCAACTTCTGATGGCCGGCCACTGTGTTTTCAAGGCTCTCCTCTCCTTTGCAAAAATCCATTTTTTTTTTTTTTTTGAGAGGTTTTTGCTATAGGGCACGTGTACTCGCCAGAAAGACAAGAGAGAGACAGAGAAACAGAAAGTGAGAAGTCACCCCCCTGGGGCCATGGCCACACCACAGTCCCTTCTCCTCCATTCTCTCTGGATCTCGGGCACACACGCACACCCGCCTGGCATGAGTTTAAGCTGCCGGGTCCAGGACTCGAACCGTGGTCAACTACATGGGAGTCCAGCGACATAGCCATTGCACCAACTGCTGGTCCCTCCTTTGAAAAAATTCTTGAACCACCACTGCACTGTATGTTCACTAGCAGTTCCTGGGCCAGTGTGGTGTTGATGTTGCAAGTTGCCTCTGCTGCCTTATAACCCATTTGGAACTCACTTGAATTTACTTTTTTTCTAACAGCATTTCCATAGTCTAAAAAAATAAAATAAACAGCAAGTAATGAGTCATTAGAAAAAAAGTAAAGTAAGAAGTACACATTAAAATGATGCATAATGTAACCACATTTATTTAAAACTGTATCCAATATTGGGACCAGCAGGTGGCATGGTGGTTGGGGCACCAGCTTCCCACATGACTGACCATGGTTCAAGTTCTGGACCTGGCAGCTTGCTTTCTCATTTTCTCTTTCTCTTAGGTCAAATTAAAAATAAATAAATGTATGAATAAAATAATTCCTTTTTAAAAAAAAAAAAAAAAGAAGGAGGACCAACAGATGGCATAATGGTTATGTTGCTGGATGGTTGACTGTGGTTCAAGTCCCAGACCCAGTGACTTAAAACTCACGCTGCATACGTGTCCATGCATTCCCAAAATCCTGAGAGGAGAATGGAGTAGAAGGGACTGTGGCGTGACCATTCTTCTGGGGGGTGATTTCTTGCTTCCTGTCTCTGTGCCTCTCTGTCTCTGCAGCGAACACACGCCCTATGGCAAAAATTTCTCTTAAAAAAGAATGTATCCAATATCAAACGGCAAATTTAAGTATGCAAAACCACAATTACTTTTGCACCAACTTAATATAATATTGTAATATTGTTATTATAGTAAATATGAAGTATACTTTGTTCCAGGTAGCTTTTTTTTAAGTTGCTAGAAGGCACGTGCACTCGCCAGAGAACAAGCACTTCCGGGGGGGGGGGGGCATCATTCTACCATAGTCCCTTCTTCTCTTCCTCTCTGTACTGTTGGGATTTGGGCCATGCAAGCACATGCACCTGGCGTGTTTTAAAAACTTCCTTGGCCTTAATTTGAACCATGGTCTGCCATGTGTGGTAAATTTCGGATGAGCATTAATATATTATAATGATACTCCTGATTTAGTAAGTCAGGGCAAATTTATTATATTGTATTTCATTTAAGAAAATACATAATTTATTTCATCTGTAGTAGGTGGGGTACTTGGTCATTTTGTTTTAAAGTGTATGTTTATCATCTAGGATATTTACTACCCAGAACAAATGTAATTTAACTGATACTCAGCGAAGAACTATTGTATGAGTGTATATAAATGAAGAAATAACCTAAAATTGGCAAATTCTGATTATAGACAGTGATTATAGCCTTTCATACCAATGGTTATTATTTCCCTGTATTTTTTGTTTTGTGAATAAGGGGCATAATTCCTTTTCCTCTGATTTATATCAGATGGCATGAAGCATGTTGCTAAAATCAAGAAGAGAAGGAGAACAATATTGCTGAAGATCTTTCAGTAAATTAATTTAATTAATTTCAGTAAATTAATTAATTTTTTTAATGGTTTTTGTCTTTGGGTGCATGCACTTGCCAGAGAGAGAGACAGAAACAGTGAAAAGGAAAGTGAGAAAGCACACCCCCAGGGGGGATGACCATGCCACAATCCTCTCCCCTCCATTCTTTCCCTGGGATCTCAGCATGCACACACATGTGCCCAGCATGATTTTGAAGCCTGCCATCCAGGACTTGAACCGTAGTCGGCTATGTGGGAGTCCAGTGATGTAACCACTATGCCATCTGCTGGCCCCAGTAAATTAATTTCTAAACAGTAACTGGAGAGTTACTTGACTCAGCTGGTCCCAGCTACCTACTCCCAAGAAATAATGACAGTACTTACAGGGAAATTCTCAGGAATAAGCTCAAAAGACTACAAAACAGCAGCAGAAACAGCTTTGTTTGGGTGGCCTGGCCTGCTTAGTAAAAATTTGCAGGCTTGGAGACCAGCAGGTGGCATGGTGGTTAAGGTGCTGGATACTCCCACATGGCCGACCATGGTTTGAGTTCCAGACTTGGTGGCTTGCTTTCTCACTTTCCCTCTCTCTCTGGTCAAATTAAAATAAATGAATGAATTCAAAAAAAAAAAAAAATGTGCAGGAAGGAGCCAGCTAGTGGTATGGTGTTAAGGGTGCTGGACTCCCACATGCTGACCACAGTTCGAGTCCTGGTCCTGGCAGCTGGCTTTCTCACTTTCTCTCTCTCTCTCTCTCTCTCTCTCTCTCTCTCTCTCCCCGGTCAAAATAAAAATAAATAAATAAAATGGATAAATAAAGTTAAATAAAATAATTCTTTAAAGTAATTTACAGGTTTATGTTTATGTCCTAAAATTTCATATAAAGTTCACTTCCTTCTCTTTTTAAGACTCTCTGGCCTCGTTAATATTAAACTAGTTCGTTGGGTGTTTTTATTTGTTCCTTTGTTTATTTGGTTAGTTGCTTGCTTTTTGGAGAAAAAAGGGTTTTTTGAAAATCTTGAAAATAGCAGATCCTCTTCCCTGAAAACTATACTCTTTTATTGTTTTGTTTCATTTTAGGAGTGGTCTGAAAAAGTGGATCAACTTGAAAAGGTTAGTACATCTTTATTTTTGTCTCATTTGTATTGATTTCCTCCCTGGGGCTTGGAAGATCTCCATAACCAGTGTACTAACCACTCTATCACCTCTGGAACAGGGCATTGTATGATTAGACACTGAGTTGAAAAGCTCATGTTTTGGGGGCCAGCAGGTAGCATGGTGGTTCAAGACACTGGACACTCCCACATGGCCAACCACAGTTCAAGTCCCAGACCTGATGACTTGCTTTCTCACTTTCTCTCTTTCTATCTCTCTCTGGTCAAATTAAAATAACTGGATCCATAAGTAAAATGATAATAATAATAATAACAACAACAAAAGGAATTAAATAAACAATTTTGAAAAAAACTCATGTTTTCAACTTTCTTAGTGGGTGTACAGGATAGCTTTGGTTTGCCTCTTCCGGTGTACTCTCCACTTCTCTCCCTTTCCCTGTGTTTTTGTAGTGGTTAGGGACTGCAACAGGGGTCTTCAGGGCCCTTGGCTTCTGATTGGATGCTGCCAACAGGGAACACCAGAATTATGTGTGGAAGAAGAGTGTGGTCAGGATGATATTCTCCCCACTTTCTCCATGTGGGGGCCCTTTGGGTTAATCGCATTCCATGGCCAAAAGTCACAGGTTCAGTCAGACGTTTGGTTTTTTCTTCTGACATAGATTTCTTTACCTTGTTTTTGGGTGACCTCTTCACCCTTTCTCCCTTCATGCCCAGCTGTTACTAGCACATTATCTTTTTCAGGCTTTCTTACCCAGCTTTAGCTCCGATAGGTCCTTTTGCTAAACTGGCCTCAGATCTCTAATTTGAGTCTGCCATCTGTTTCCTGCTGGGGCGCTGATTGACCTTGTGACATTACGAATAGTTCCTGACCAAGCAGTGGGGAAGGAGGGCATTTCCCTAGACTCAGCTTTGAGCAGATAAGAGGACCTCTTGGCTAGAAACAGATGAAGATGGACTATTCTAGCACCACAGCTCGTAGAATACCGTGTAGTGCCTTAAGCATTGTATTCCTTTCTGGCTTTCAGATACAGACAAGATGAAACTTAAAGCCTACAATCGTAAAAACATTTTAATGCTAAGATGATTGACAGAGTCAGTCGTCTCAGCCTGAATTATATTCCGCCTACCTAATTTTGTCCTTGTTTTCACTGAGTACTCTTTTTATTTTAAAGAGTTATTTTATTTTAACTTTATTTATTATTATTATCATTGTTATTTTCCAGTTTGATCAGAGAGAGACAGAGAGAGAGAGGAAGTGAGAAAGCAAGCCTTCAGGTCCAAGACTTGAACCATGGTCGGCCATGTGGGAGTCCAGCGCCCTTAACCACCATGCCACTTACCGGCCCCAACTGAGTACTCTTAAACCTGGTAGAAAAATTATTTCTTAGAATGAAAGATTCAGTTTCAAAGTATATTTACTGTTAAGTTTGTTGAACAAGTGAGCTTTATAATTGTTCCATTCTTTCCATAAACCAATGATTTTCTTTGTGTGCTCTGTAGAAATCTAATAATCAAGCTATCAAGCATGCTTTAAAAAAAATTTTTTTTTTTTTGGAGAGGTTTTTGCTATAGAGCGCATGTGCTCACCAGAAAGACAGAGACAGAATGCAAGAAATCAGCCCCCAGGGGGAATGGCCACGCCACAATCCCTTCTTCTCCATTCTCCTCTTGGGTTCTTGGGCATGCACGCGTACACGCCCAGTGTGAGTTTAAGCCACCGGGTCTGGGACTTGAACTGTGGTCGACTACATGGGAGTCTAGTGACATGGCCATTACGCTAACTGCTGGTCCTTAAAAAATTTTTTTAATTGCCAGAGGGTGAGTATGCTTGCCAGGGAGAAAGAGAGGGGAGAATACTCCCCAAAAGGAGGTACATGGCCCCTCTGCATTCCCTTCTCTTCCAGTTCTTCATCCTGTTGGGATTTTGGATGTTCATACACACACACACATACACCTGCTGTGTTTTCCAAGTGACAGAAGTCAGGATTCAAGTTGTGGTTGGCCATGTATGATCTGGTTCCCTTAACCACTAGGCTTAAGGCCCTGCCTAGAATACGTTAAAATTTTTAAAAAGTGCTACAGTGTTTGTGCACCTACTAGAGAAAGACACAGAGAGAATGAGCATGAGAAAACACTCCCTGTGGTATGATCATGTCATAGTATCTTCTCCATCTTCCCTTTCTAGATTTTGGGCACACATGCACATGTACCTGGTATGTTTTTCAGGTTACTAGATCTGGGACTCAGTACACAGCCAGTCATATGGTATGCAGCCACCTTAACCACTATACCATCGGCCGGCCTTAACATTTTTAGGTTAAAAAAAAGAACAGATAATTCAAGTCCCAAAGAAACTTCTGGTTGAAAAAAGACAACTCTATAAACATTCAGTTAGTGTTGATCTTCTTAAATATGGAGGTATGGGTTAGGTTAAGGTTTTCTTACCGTAAAATAAACTTTTTTTTTTCTTTTTTTTTTTTTTTTGGAGAGATTTTCACTGTAGGGCGCGTGCGCTCACCAGACAGACAGAGAGAGACATAGAGACAGAAAGCGAGAAATCACCCCCCAGGGGGGATGGTCACGCCGCAATCCCTTCTCCTCCAATCTCCTCTCGGGATCTTGGGCACGCAGGCACACGCGCCCGGCGTGAGTTTTAAGCCACCGGGTCCGGGACACGAACCGCGGTCGACTACGTGGGAGTCCAGCGACATAGCCATTACGCTAACTGCTGGTTCCCAAACTTTTTTTTTTTTTTTAACGTTTTTGCCATAGGTCATGTGCTTATACCAGAGACACACACACGCACACACACAGAGAGAGAGAGAGAGAAAGAGAGAGAGAGAGAGAGAGAGAGAGAGAGAGAGGAAAAGTGAGTCATCATCCACCAGCGGGAATGACCACACTGCAGCCCCCTCTCCTCCATTCTTCTCTCAGGATTTTGGGAAACAGCATGATTTTCAAGTCACAGGGTCTCTTTAAGATTTTGGCAGTTGAAGGGCCAGCAGGTGACGTGGTGGTTAAAGGCACTGGAATCTCACATGGCCCACCTCAGTTCAAGTCCTGAATCTGGCAGCTTGCTTTCTCACTTTTCCTCTTTCTTTCTCTGATCAAACTGTAAAAGAATAATAATAAAGTTAAATAATCCTATAAAAAAAGATTATGGCAGTTGAAATTCTCATTGAACGGGGTTTTTTGTCTCGAAATTATGGTAAAGGGGAGTCACTTAGGACTGAATCTAATAAACCAACTTCGGTTCACCAAAGGGATTTTGTTTTGTATTTTCAAAGGAGGAGTAGGAGAAATTAGACTAGGAAAGAGTAATGAAACATCTAATAGAGACATTTGAAGCCACTTTGGTTCTAGAGATGTTCTTCTGAGACTTAAGTTATTTCCAGTCAAGAACTAGAAACTACAACAGCAGGATTAATCCTTAACGGAGTCCATCCTAAGAAGATACTATTTAGCAAATTGTGACCTGTCATGTTTGTTTTTTTTCCTTGTTAACTGACTTCAGTTCTTAAGTGCATTTAATTTTTTAGTCATTTGGTGTTTCTTCATTTATTCATGTTCAGTTATTCATGTTCTTCAGCCAGTTCACTGTGTCACTAAGACATGTAAAATGTCTATCTGGAATTGTTAAGCAGACTTACAAACTTTAAAGGTTTTTTTTTTTTTTTGGAGAGGTTTTTGCTATAGGGTACGTGCTCTTGCCAGACAGTCAGAGAGAGACAGAGAGACAGAAAGTGAGAATTCACCCCCCAGGGGGGATGGCCACACCACAATCCCTTCTCCATTCTCCTCTCGGGATCTTGGGCACGCACACACACGCGCCCAGCGTGAGTTCTAAGCCACTGCGTCCAGGACTCGAACCGTGGTCAGCTACATGGGGGTTCAGCGACATAGCCATTATGCTAACTGCTGGTCCCTACAAACTTGATAGTTTTGAGTAACTGTTCTCCTTATTCACAGTTGTCATTTAAAATATACTTTTACTGGGGCCAGCAGTTAGCATAATGACTATGTCGCTGGATTCTCATGTAGTCAACTGCGGTTCGAGTCCCAGACCCAGTGGCTTAAACTTACACCAGATGCATGTATATGCATGCCCAAGATCCCTGGAGGAGAAGGGCTTGTGGCCCTGTCGCCCGTGGGGGAGCGGGTTGTGATTTCTCACTTTCTGTCACTCTGTCTCTCTCTCTTTCTAGTGAGCACACATGCCCTATAGCAAAAATCTCTCCAAAAAAATAAATAAAAAATACTTAAATATTTTGTAAATAACATCGTATTTGATCATGTTGCTGTAACATATCCCATTATCAATATGTTTTTGTCTATTGGCATTAGAGTTTGTAACATATTCCTTTATTGGAGAATTCTGCTTGCTTAATATAGATTTTTGATGTTTTAGTCGTCTGACTCAATGTCTTCTTCCAATTAGGAGAAAAGATTTCTGACAGCTCAGTTACAGGAAATGAAGAACCAGAGTTTGAATCTTTTCCAAAGGAGAGATGAAATGGATGAGTTAGAAGGCTTCCAGCAGCAGGAACTAAGTAAAGTAAAACACATGGTACACAATTTTGTTTTAGTAGCCAAATACTGAGTAGATGACCATTCACTCTGATGTTGCTAATCTTCACTCTCTAACTCTGATAAACATACCTCTTTGATATTAATTATATTTTTATGTTTTTAAATATTTTTATATGGGAAAGTTTTATGTGAAATGTATTTCCTTTTTCTTTTCCTTTCTTTAACTCAGCATATAAGCTCCCCCCCTTAGTTTTTTAAAGAATAACTTATTTAACTTTATTTATTAATATTTTTAAAAATTTGTTATAGGGCATGTGTACTCACCAGAAACAGACAAAGAGAAGGTAGAAAATGGGAAGGCAAGCCATCAGGTCCAGGGCTCAAACTGTGGTTAGCCGTGTAGGAGAATAACACCTTAGACATCACACCACCTACTGCCCCCCCCCCATTAAGCCCACAAAAATGTTATGAAAATGTGACTCAGGCAAGCAGGTGGCAGTGATTAGGGTGCTAGACTCCCTTGGCTCAGGCCAATGGGTAGCATAGTGTTAAGGTGCTAGACTCCTACACAGCCGACCTGGACCCAGGGGCTTGAAACACATGCCAGGCATGTATCTGTGCATGCCCAGAATACCAGAAGGAGAATGGAGTAGAAGGGTCTGCAGGTGATTTCTCACTTTCTCTTTTTCTCTTGGCGCTCACACGCCCTAGAGCAAAAATCTGTCTCTTAACAAAACAAACTTGGCTATTGGCACAAACTTTTTTAAATTTCATTTTCTTTTATACATTCAATTACATTATTTAGCTTACAAAGTGAATATTTCAATATGTGAACATTTCTCCCTAGTCCAGTTGATAAAACTATAAAATAGCTTCAATAGATAGTACCACATTTCTTTGTCTCATTTTTGCTTTGCCTTTATATTTTTCTTCTAAATGTCCTTCCTCAGGCCCTCCTCTTCCACACACACTGTATCTGGCATTTACACCCATTTACTGTGTTCCTATATCCTTCAGTCAATCAGTCTCAGTCATAGAGTGCGGACACTCGGTATATATTATGTGGGGTCATATAATGTCTCTCCTTCATGGCCTGACTTGCTTCACTCAGCAGTAAATCTTCCATATTCTTCCACTTTCTGTCAAAAGCCAGGGTTTTGTTGTTTTTTTTATGGCTGAACAGTATTCCATAGAGTATATGTGCCACAGCTTTTCAATTCATTCATCTGTTCGTGGGCATTTGGGTTGCTTCCATGTCTTAGTAATAGTGAATAGTGCCACAATAAACATCGATATGCAAGCACTTTTCCGATGAAGAATTGTTTTGTCCTTTGGGTAGATACCAAGGAGTGGAATTGCTGGATCATATGGTAGTTCTATTTATAGATATTTTTGAAGAATCTCCAAATTGTTTTCCACAGTGGCTGAACTAATTTACATTCCCACCAGCAGTGTAAGAGAGTTCCCCTTTCACCACACCCCTGTCAACACTTATCATTTTTTGTTTTTTTTTTAATCTTAGACATTCTGACTAGGGTTAGGTGGTAACTCGTTTTGATCTGCATTTCCCTTACGATGAGGGATGGCACAAATTTTTTTAAAGCAGTTTTTTAGCAGTAGTTTAGTATAATTTTGTTTTTTTGTGTCAGCTTCTTAAAAAAGAAGAAAGTCTGGGGAAAATGGAACAAGAATTGGAGGCACAAACCAGAGAACTTAGTCGCACCCAGGAGGAGTTGATGAACTCCAGGCAGATGTCATCAGACTTAAGCCAGAAGCTAGAAGAATTGCAGAGACACTATTCAACGCTGGAAGAACAGAGGTTCTTGCTTGGTCTGTGGGGCCCTTGGGAAGAGGTGTTAGTTTAGCTCTGGCTATTGCCTGCCTACCTTTCCCATTGCTCATTGCAACCTGCCAATCTCAATGTTGGCAGAAGCTTCTGGATTTGTCCCTAACTGACGAGGACTCAGGGTTACCACCTTTCCCAAACCCCACCCCCAGTCCCAACCCTTCTTCTGCCTCGACTCAGAAGTATTCCAACCCTACTGAGCATTTCAGTATGGTTTTCCTTTGTAAGCTAATGAGTAAGCAGAGGGAGATCAGGATTTCTTGCTTAAACTTGGTTGGGCTTTTTCTTTTTGGGCTTCTGCTTCAGAGAGCCAAAGAGTCTTATCCACTGGCAACCTTCGTGTGGCTAATGATGTTTGCAGCCTTGACTTATAAGGAACCATCTGTATTTTTCCTGAAGAATATGTCTTAAATGAGATATCCATATTTGCTCATTGTCTGCTTTCTTTCAATGAAGAGATCATATGACAGCTTCAAAGACAGGGGCAGAAAATAAGATCACAGCCCTGAAACAAAAGGAACAAGAGCTCCAGACATTCATTCAGCAGCTTTCCATTGATTTGCAAAATGTAAGTAGAGTGCAAAGACTAAACCTGTTTTCTAGGATTCATGAATGGTGATGAACACTGGTTTGCCAGCAGTTTCAGTCTCAGGGTGGCAGCTGGAACATGTCATTTTAAGTGACGCCATGACTCTCTTGTGGGGACCAGCAGGTTGCATTGTGGTTAAGGTGCTAGACTCTCACATGGTTAACCATGATTTGAATCATGGACCCAGCAGCTTGAAACTCAACACTAGGCTCATGTTCATGCATGCCCAAATTTCCAAGAGGAGAATGGAGAAGAGATTGAGGTGTGGCCATCCTCCCAGGGAATGATTTCTTGCTTTCTCACTCTCTGTCTCTCCAGCAAGCACACATGCCCTATAGAAAAAATCTCTAAAAAAAAAAACACAAAAAAACAAAAAAAAACACTCTTGTGATGTTAATTGGAGTTGCACGGAATCTGTGTCTCCATTTGGGTAGCACTGAGCACTTTATGTGAGTTTTCTTATCCACCAATATGGCCTATCTATCCAGATGGTTGGTGTTGCTGGTTTTCTTTTTCCGTTTGTTGGTTTTTAATTATTTTCTTAAGGGTCTCTAATTTTCTTCATAAAAATTTGTTATCTATTATATTCCTAGCTGTTTATTTTTTTATACCAATTATAAATTGTGTCATTTTAAAAATTACCTTCTGGGGCCAGCAGATGGCATAGTGGTTGAAGGGCTGGACTCCCACATGGCCAATTATAGTTCAAGTCCTGGACCCAGTGACCTGAAAATCACAACAAATAAATACATAAATGTTAAAAAAAAAAAAAAAGAAATCTAACAAGAGATATACATGCTTTAACATTTTTAAAAAGAATTATTTATTTAATTTTATTTATTCATCCAATTATTTTAATTTGACCAGAGAGAGAGAGAGAAAGTGAGAAAGCAAGCCACCAAGTCCAGGACTTGAATCATGGTCGGCCACGTGGGAGTGTCCAGTGTCTTAACCACCATGTACCTGCTGGTCCTAAAAAAAAAATTTTTTTTAATAAAATTACTGGGACCAGCAGATGGTGTAATGGTTACGTCACTGGACTCCCACATAGTTGGCCGCAGTTTGAGTCCCAGACCCAGCAGCCTAAAATTCACGCTGGGTGTGTGTGCATGCGTGCCCAAAATCCTTAGAGGAGAATGAAGGAGAAAGGACTGTGGTGTGGCCATCCCCCCGGGTGGGTGGTGATTTCTCGTTTTCTCTCTCTCTCTCTGGTGAGTGCATGCATCCTATGGCAAAAATACGTCTTACAAATAATTACTTTTTGTATTTTTGCTAGCATTAAGAAATTCTAGTTTGTTTTTGTCCATTTCTTAATTTGCTTTAGAGCACATGCACTGGCCAGAGAGAGAGAGAAAATGGGAAAGCATCCCACAAGGGGGACTAGGCCGCAGTCCCTTCTCCATGCTCCTCTCAGGATATTGGGCACGTACCACATGTACCTGGCATGTTTTTCAAGCTGCCAAGTCCAGAAACCAAACTGCTCAGTCAGCCATTTGGGATCCAGCCACCTTAACCACTATGCCACCTAGCTGGCCCTGTTTGATGTTTTAACTTGCTAGAGGGCATATGCACTTGCCAGATAAAGATTGGGTTGGGGGCAGTGAGAAAGCAGCATGCATGGGAGATAGATGGTCCTACCACATCACTTTTACTGTTTTTCCCTCCTTGGAATTTTGGGCAAACATATACACATGCCCATTATGTTGCTCAAGCCACCAGTTCCAGGAAATGAACTGCTCAGTTGGAAATGTGGGGTCCAGCTACCTTAGCCATCATGCCACTGGCTGGCCCAGCTAGTATTTTTATACATTGTTTTTTTTTTTTTTTTTTTTTTTCACCTTTATATGAGTTCTTATTAAGGGCAATAGAACTTAATAGGTTCTTTTGAGTTCATTTTATAGCAGTCATACCATCTGTGAATGACAGTTTTGCTTCTTTCTTTCCAATTCTTAACACCTTTCTTTTTTGCTTTATTCTGTGAGCTAGAATGTTGGGTATACCATGGAACATAATTTGTAAAAGTGGACACCTTATTCTTGATCTCCAATTTTTACTAAGAAATATTTTTTATAGCTTTTTATCAGTTTAAGGAAGTTCTTTTCTCTTTTTTTCTAAGTCTGTTTTTTGAGGTCTAATTTACATACTATAAAGGTGACTTATCTGTTATACAATATGGAGAGTTTTTTAAAATATATATTTTTAAATTTTTATTTATAATCATTTTTCCATTTGCTATAGGACACATATGCTCACCAGAGTGAGAGAGGGAGGGAAATTGGGAAAAGCAAGCCATCAGGTCTGGGATATGAACCGTGGTCCACCGTGTGGGAGTCCAGTGCCTCAATCACGCCACCTGCTGGCCCCGAGGTTTTTTTTTTTTTTTTTTTTTTTTTTTTTTTTAAGAGATTTTTGCTATATGACTCATGCACTCGCCAGAGAGACAGAGACAGAAAGTGAGAAATCACCTCCCAGGAAGGATGACTACACTACAATCCCTTCTCCATTCTTCTCTCAGGATTTTGGGCACACACACATGCGCCCTGCATGAGTTTTACATCGCCAGGTCCAGGACTCAAACTGCTGTCAACTATGGAAGTCCAGTGACATAACCATTATACCATCTGCTGGTTCAGTATGGAGAGTTTTAAGAACTGCACCATGGGACCAGCAGTTAGCATAATGGCTATGTCACTGGACTTCCATGTAGTCAGCCGTGGTTTGTGTCCCGGACCCAGTGGCTTGAACTCATGCCGGGCATGTGTGTGTGTGCCCAAGATCCCAAGAGGAGAATGGAGGAGAAGGGATTGTGGCATGGCCATCCCCTCTGGGGGGTGATTTCTCACTTTCTATCTCTCTGTCTCTCTCTGTCTTTCTGGTGAGCTCACGTGCCCAGTAAGAAAAAAACCTCAAAAAAAAGAAAAAAAAAAAAAAAAAGAACTGTGCACCATGGAACCAGAAGCAAAATCAAGATATAGAAAATTCCCTTTACCCTAAAAGCTTCCTCCATTTCCCCTTAGTAAATCCCCACCCTTAGCCCCTGGCAACCCCTGATGTGCTTTTTATCACAGCTAATTAGAATTGTCTTTCCTATGGGGCTGGCAGGTGGCTTGGTGGTTAAGGTGCTAGACTCCCACATGGCCAACTGTGGTTCGAGTCCCAGACCTGGCAGCTTTCTCTGTCTCTGTCTCTCTGGTCAAACTGAAAAAGAAGGATAAGAAATAAAATTAAATAAAAATCTCAAAAAAAAAAAAAAAAAAAAAAGAATTGTCTTTCCTAGAGTTTTAAGTGAATGGAATCATACTGTAGTAATTCTCTTTTGTATCTGGTTTCTTTCTTAGTGGTGTGGATTTGAGATTGACTTACTGATCTCCTTTCTTTGTATTGCTGAGTTGTAACTCATTTAGATATAGTTTGTTTCTGTGTTTAGTAGTTTTCGTGAATTTCTCAGTTTCCAGTTTTTAGCTACTATGAATTAAATTGCTGTGAACATTTGTAAACAAATATTTATGTGGCATTTGTTTTTAATTATTTTAGATAAATAATTAGGGATAAATTGCTGGATTATAGGTAAATATATGTTGAACTTTATAGGAAAGTGCCAAAACTGTTTTTCAAAGCAGTGATACCATTGTGCTTTCCTACCAGCAGTGACAATTCAGGTTGCTTTATTTGCCATCTTTTTTTTTTACCCCACGCTTGCCAGAGGACATGTGCATTTGACAAAGAAAGACAGAGAGGCAACCTTGCCCCCAATTGGGGCAAGGTCACACTGCAGTCCTTCCTACTCCATCCTGTCAGGATTTTTGGCATCCACATATATGCACCCAGTGTATTTATTTATTTATATTTTGGAGAGGTTTTTCGGTATAGGGCGCATGCGCTCACCAGACAGACAGAGACATAGAGACAGAAAGTGAGAAATCACCCCCCGGGGGGGTGGCCACGCCACAATCTCTTCTCCTCCATTCTCCTCTCAGGATCTTGGGCACACATGCACACGTGCCTGGCGTGAGTTTTAAGCCACCAGGTCCGGGACGCGAACCATGGTCGACTACATGGTAGTCCAGCGACGTAGCCATTACGCTAACTGCTGGTTCCCCACCCAGTGTATTTTTCAAGCCTTTGAGTCCAGGACCCAAAATGCACAGTTGCCCATATGGGATCTGGCTCCCTTAAGCACTTGGCCATGAGGCCAGCCCTTATCCTCAGTCTTTTTGATTTATGTATTTAAGTGAATGACAGTCATGTGTCTCATTATGATTTTAGTTTGCATTAGCACATATCTTTTCTTGTGCTCTTTGGCCATTTCTATGTTTTTTTTTGGTGACATGTCCATTCTTTTACTCACAATTTTATTCAAAATCTGATTATTGCGATTTAAGAGTTCTTTGCACATTGTGAATATATGTCCTTGTTAGATATTAGTATTGTGAATATATGTCCTCTGTTAGGTATTAGTATTGTGAATATATGTCCTTTGTTAGATATTAGTACTCCTGTTATTTTTGCATGAATAGGACTTGCCTTTTCATTTTCTTTACAGTGTCTTTTTGAAAACAAAACATTTTAGGAAATTCTGATAAGAAGAATGCAAGTTCATGAGAGCACATGGGAGAGAGAGGGAGAGAACAAAGAGGGATTCTTAGAGAGAAACAGATATTTTTGACAGGGTCTCATGTGTGTCATAATCCTCCTATCCTGGGCTCCCACTCAGCTAGGACCACAGGCACATCGAGGTTGGGCCAGGAAGCAAACTCGGGCTCCCTGTATGACCTCAGCCATTGTGCGGCTGTGCCCTCCTGCTTACGCCGCCACGGCTGCAATTCTGTTTTTGAATTTTGCATTCTGTGTTCTGTTTTAAAAGTCTTTGTTGGGGCCAGAGGGTAGCATGGTGGTTAAGGAGCTGGATTCCCACATGACTGACCATGCTTCAAGTTCTAGACCTGGCAGCTTGCTTTCTTGCTGTCTCTCTTCCTCTGTCTCTGTCTTTATCTCTCTGGTAAGCATATGTACCCTATAGCAAATTTGAAAATAATAACAACAAAAAAAAAAGAACTATTTTTTAAGAAGAAGTTTTTGTCTACCCAAAGGTCTCAAATTTTTTTTTCTGTAATATCTTGTATTCTATAATATCTTGTAGAACATGATTTTGAAAATATGGTTTCTAAGGGACCAACAGCTGGTATAATGGTTATATTGCTGGACTTCTATATAGTCGACCATAGTTCAAGTCCCAGACCTGGCAGCTTAAAACTCATGCTGGGGGGCGTGTGTGCCCAAAATCCCAAGAGGAGAATGAAGGGGAAAGGATTGCAGCATGGCCATCCCCCTGGGGGTTACTTTCTTACTTTCTGTCTGTCTGTCTGTGTCTGGTGAGCTCATGTGCCCTATAGCGAAAAGTCTCTCAAAAAAAAAAAAAAGAAAGAAAGAAAGAAAAGAAAAAGAAAACATGGTTCCTGAGATCCTTCTAGAGATCTGTAAGATCAGAGGTACTTTCCTGGTAATACGTGGACTTGTTTTCCCTTTTTAACTTACATCATCTCGTAAGTGGAGTGTTTTGGAGGCTCCCTGACTTATGATATTGCAGTAGACTGAATACAGAAGCACATGTGAGAACACAGCTAAGAACTGCGTTCATTAAGCCAGACATTAGCGAGACTGGCAAAAAGAGAAAACAGGATTGCGATTTTCTCTAAATATTTTCTGCATTGGAAAATATTGTCATTAAAAAATATATATGGTATTCATGTTTATATCATTGGTTTATTATTATTTATGCCAAAAGGGCTTGTGCACAGGCGAAACAGAGAGGAAGAGAGAGAGAGCACTAACAGGGCCTCACGTAACGCTCTCTCCTTCAGCTCTCCAGCTTGTCAAGGTCCCGGTCATGTGGACATTCAGCATGTTTTTCAAGTTGGTGGGGCTGGGTCTTGAGGTGTGGTTGGCCATGCTTGATGCAGCTCTCTCTGCAGGGTGCTTAACAGCTGTGCCCTGGGGCAGGCCTGAGTTTATTACTTTATTTTTTAAGAGATTTTTGCCATAGGATGTGTCTTTGCCAGTGAGAGAGACAGAGATGGTGAGAGAGAAAGTGAGAAATCACCCCCCAGGGAAGATGGCCACAATGTAGTCCCTTCTCTGTTCTCCTCCTGGGATCTTGGGCATGCACACACACACCTGTTGGGTGTGACTTTCAAGCCACCACCATATGGGAATCCAGTGAAGTAACCACTGCTCTGCCTGCTAGCCCCAGTGTATTATTTTAAATTTACTATTTTCTAATATTCTAAGTTCTAGTGTTTTTTTTTGGAGAGATTTTTGCTATAGGGTGTGTGCGCGTGCCAGAAAGACAGAGACAGAGAGGTAGAAAGCAAGAAATCGCTCCCCCAGGGGATGGCCACGCTGCAATCCCTTCTCCTCCATTCTCCTCTCGGGATCTTGGGCACGCACGCACACGTGCCCGGCGTGAGTTCAAGCCACTGGGTCCGGGACACGAACCATGATTGGCTACGTGGAAGTCCAGCGACATAGCCATTATGCTAACTGCTGGTCCCAGTTCTAGTTTTTAATATAGTACGTAGCAGTGGATAAACTCATATAACAAAAATCTTTGACTTCTTCCGTGAATTTTTAAAATATGAAGGGGGGCCAGCAGTTAGCTTGGTAGTTAGGTGCTAGACTCCCACATGGCTGACCATAGTTTGAGTCCCAGATCAGGCTGCTTACTTTCTCTCTCTCTCTCTGTCTCCGGTCAGATTGAAGAATAGTAATAATAAATAAAATTAAATGAATAATTCTTAAAAATATATTAAACTTAAAAAGAGGGGGACCAGCATTTGGCATAATGGCTACATCATTGGACTCACACATAGTCAACTGCAGTTTAAGTCTCAGAGGCGGCAGTGTAAAACTCATGCCAGATATGTGTGTGTGTGTGTGAGTATGCCCCAGATCCCTAGAGGAGAATGGAGGAGAAGGGATTGCAGCTTGGCCATCCCCCTGGGGGTGATTTCTCATTTTCTGTCCCTCTCTCTCTTTGTCTCTCTGGCAGTCGCACACATCCTATAACTAAAATCTCTCTCTAAAATAAAGAAACGCTAAACTGAAACCATAGAGTTTAACAACCCCTGATCTAGAAGGTTTGGTTACCTTTTATTTATTTATTTATTTCCTTATTTATTTATTTATTTAATTTCCATAAAACACATTCCATGTGTTATTATTATTTTTTTAATTTGATCAGACAGAGACAGAAAGAGAAAAAGGGAAAGCGAGAAAGCAAGCTGTCAGGCCCAGGACTCAAACCACGGTAGGCCAAGTGGGAATCCAGTGCCTTTAACCACCATACTGCCTGCCAGGCCCTCAGTCTCTGTTTTTTATGGGGTGCATGTGCGCGCGTGCCCGAGATCCTGAGAGGAGAGTGGAGGAGAAGGGATTGTGGTGTGGCCATCCCCCCTGGGGGGTGGTTTCTCGCTTTCTGTCTCTCTGTCTCTCTCTGTCTTTCTGGCGAGTGCATGCGCCCTATAGCAAAAAAAACTCAAAAAAAAAGAAAAAAAAAAAGGCAAGCCACTAGGTCCAGGACTTGAACCACAGTTGGCTATGTGAGAATCTAGTGTCCCTAGCCATCACGCCATTTGCTAGATTTTATGTTTAGGTCTAAAGTCTTTATTAAATAATTTATTTTTCTTTTTAGGTTTTTGCCTTGGGCACGTGCACTTGCCAAAGAGAGACAGAGAAAGACAAAGAGAAAGTGAGAAATCACCCCCACCCCCAAGGGGATGGCTACCCCACAGTTCCCTCCCAGCTCTCCTCTCAGGATTTTGGGCACAATGTACACATGCCTGGAATAATCCTCAAGCCCCCATGTCCAGGGCCCAAACTGTGGTAGGCCTTGTGGGAATCCAGTGCCTCAACCACCACGCCATCTGCTGGTCCTTTTATTGAGTAATTTTTAAGCATGGTATGTGATATAAGGGTATCTCATATGGATGTCTAATTATTCCAGCATCATTTGTTGAAGAGATTATCCTTTCCCCATTCAGTTACCTTAGTTCTTTTTTTGCTAATCAGTTGACCACAGATGTGTCAAACTATTTTTTCATTTTCTGTTTTGTTCCTTTGATCTATATGTCCATACTGTGGATAGTTATAATTTTGAGTTTCACAAATATTTGCTAGATCTTTCCATAAAACAAGCCATTTGGACTTCATATTTTCTTTTTAATTTCTGAGAGAGAGCGCAGCACCCTAACAGGTTCTGCATGCTATGATCCCACCCCAGCCTGAGCCAGCCCGGGTCACAGGTACTGCCCATGTGCCCAGTGTGCCCAGGGAGACTCTGGGTGCAAGCCCAGGACTTGCCCTCATGGCGTCCACATTGTGAACATTGCTTTACAGCACCATCAGTGCAGCTAAATGACTAGATTTCTCCCCCCGCCCCCCTTTTTTTTTCTATTTTTTTTTCTCTTTGCTTGTTCCCAATCACTTACACTGGAGAGAGTGTTTGCCTCTTGCTACATACACTAGAGCTGAGTGGAACCCTGAGTATTACTACACTTTGTTCTTGCATTGTCTGTGTCTCATTTTCAAGGACGATGTTCTTCCAGAATGCAGTTAAGAACAGAGTTCCATGGAAATGTGTTGGGCCAAGAGGGGGGAGGAAGGGAGGGAATGTGGGCTTAGTGTATGTGATCTCTGTGTCCACCTACCTGCAGGTCACTGCTGAAACGCAAGAGAAAGAAAAACTCATCACACACTTGCAAGAGAAGGTCACATCCTTGGAGAAGAGACTGGAACAAAACTTATCAGGAGAAGAACATGTGCAAGAACTCCTAAAGGAGGTGACTTTCACTGTGTTTGTGCTGGACTGTGCAGAAGGCAGCATTTTCTCTGGGGCTTTCATAAACCCTAGAGTTTCAGAAATGAAAGGTCAGCGAAGAGCTTGGGAAGAAGAACACTGCCTCCAGCTTCAGGTTGTCCTGCCTACATCAGGAGCCTGATGTCCCCTGCATATGACATGCTTTTCTCAGAAATGGGAGAGCTTTGGGCACATATGAATAGATAGCATCGTGATCACTGATAAACTACACCTAAGGAGTTTGGCCACTTGGGCCGTCTTATCTTTCCTCACTGCCTGCTTCCCCACCCTTTTGCTCTCCATTCGCCCTGTGGTGTGATCAAGTCACCTGGGGTAATGTTCTCTCCTCAGCTGAGGGTGTCCGTGAGCTGCCTCTTGTCAGCCCTCTCAAGTGTAGTGTGAGTGCGTTCTCATCAGGTGAAGGTGCAGTTGTGAGCTTCCCTGCAGTGGGGGTAGTGAACTTCCTCATCAGGCCTGGGAGCACCATCTGCTCTCATGCTGCTCTTCCTTCTTTCTGCACCCTGTGATCAGCCTCACCTGTCGTGGGACAAAGCCAAAGTCTTTGGACTCATCCTAGATAAGACCCTCAGTTTCTGTCTTCAGTTTCAACTAAGCATCTCCATTTCCACTGCCCCTTTGTACATCATGGCTTCCAGCAACTCTAACCTCGTCCGTATTAAGTGTCCAGGCTGGCCAACCCAGTAGCAGTCTCTCTTCATCCACTCTCTGCCAGTCTTCCATGCTCCCTGTCACACCGATCTTCCCAAACAGCATATCTGATCATATCACTCCCTAACCGTCTTCTACAATTACCTTAAACAGTATACAGTGAGAACGATGTGGGTTCTAGGGTGTAAATTGATTTCTAGAATCAGACTATGTATTTTTCTTCCTTTTACTACCTTGTGGCTTAGAGTAAGTAACTTAATCTCTTGTATTTAATCTGTTCACCCTTTCCTATAAAATTAATTTGATGGGACCAGCAGTTAGCATAATGGCTATGTCACTGGACTCCCATGTTGTTGACCGCAGTTCGCATCCCGGACCCGGTGGCTTAAAACTCACTCCGGGTGCATGTGCGTGTGTGCCCAAGATCCTGAGAGGAGAATGGAGGAGAAGGGATTGCAGCGTGGCCATCCCCCCTCAGGGGGTGATTTCTTGCTTTCTGTCTCTCTGTCTGTCTGTCTCTCTCTCTCTCTCTCTCTCTCTCTCTCTGGCGAGCGCACGAGCCCTATAGCAAAAATCTCTCCAAAATATATATATATTAATTTGATTATATTACTAAGCACAGAATCATTATTAGGATTAAATGAGTTAAACCCATGAAGTACTTAGAATGAAGATCAGAAAATAGGGTCTTGATGTACGTGGGCCATTAGTATCGTAATTGTTGAGATTGTGTCCTTATCATTGTTGTGAAGTTTAGTGTGCCAGCAGTTACTTGGGGAGTTTGTTTAAAGTATATGTATATTTCTGGCTCTAACCCCCAGAGACTGATTTCAGCAGGCCTAGAGGAAGGTCTCAAGTATAATACCATACCTGTCTAAGACTAGGATTCAAAAGACCCTGCTTTGAAAAATGTTTCATGCAGAATAAAGTTTAGACTCCTTTTTACAGCATTAAAAAGCCTCTCATGAGGCCGGCAGGTGGCATGGTAGGTAAGGGCACTGGACTCCCATATGGCTGACCACAGTTGGAGTCTTGGACCTGGCCACTTGCTTTCTCACTTTCTCTCTCTCTCTGTCTCTCTCTCTCTCACTCTCTCTCTCGCTCTCTCGTGAGCACACAGGTCCTACAGCAAAGTGAAAAATAATAATAATGGGACTAGCAGATGGCATAATGGTTACACTGTTCGACTCCCACGTAGTAAACAATGGTTTGAGTCCCAGACCCAGTGGCTTGCTTTCTCACTTTCTCTCTCTCTCTGTCTCTCTCTCTCTCACTCTCCCTCCCTCCCCCCCCCCCCCTCTCTCTCTCTCTCTCTCTCTCTCTCTCTCGTGAGCAAACAGGTCCTACAGCAAAGTGAAAAATAATAATAATGGGACCAGCAGATGGCATAATGGTTACACTGTTCGACTCCCACGTAGTAAACAATGGTTTGAGTCCCAGACCCAGTGGCTTAAATCTCATGCTGGGGGCATGTGTGTGCATGCCCAAAATCCCAAGAGGAAAGCCCAGCAGGTAGCATGGTGGTTGAGGGCACTGAACTCCCACATGGTTAACTATGGTTCAAGTTCTGGACCTGGCGGCTTGCTTTCTCACTTTCCCTCTCTCTCATTCACTCTGTCACTCTGTGGTCAAAATAAAATAAATAAAGTTAAATAAAAAATAATTTTTTTTTGGAGAGGTTTTTGCTATAGGGCGCTTGTGCTCGCCAGAAAGCAGAGAGAGAGAAATCACTCCCCAGGGGGGATGGTCATGCTGCAATCCCTTCTCCTCCATTCTCCTCTTGGGATCTTGGGCATGCACGCAAACGTGCCCAATGTGAGTTTAAGCCACCGGGTCCAAGACTCAAACTGCCGTCGACTACGTGGAAGTCCAGCGACATAGCCATTATGCTAACTGCTGGTCCCAAATAAAATAATTCTTAAAAAAAAAAATCCAAAAGGAGAACGGAGGAGAAGTGATTTTGGTGTGGCCACTCCCCCGCAAGGGGTGATTTCTCACTGTCTGTCTCAGTCTCTCCAGTGAGTACACGCACCCGATAGCAAAAACCTCTCTAAATATATAAATAATGATAAATAAAATTAAATATATAAAATAAATAATAAAATTAATAAACAAGTAAAAAGTCTCTCTTGATCTAGCCTTTTTGCCTAACTTTACAGTCTCATCCTTGACCTAAAGCTGTGATGGCTCTGGCTTCTGAGGAGTCAAGTTCCCTGAATGAGCAGCTGTTCACATCCCCCTTGTCTCCTGCTGGGCTGTTCCCCCAGTTACAAAGCCTTCCACTTACCCTGTGGCAGTGAGGGTATCCCATTCTATGGTCCCTCTTTGCAGGCACTAATTGCACTCTGTTATATAGTTTTTTCATTGGTCTTTTGCCCCAAGATCAAAAGACTGTATCAAATTTGTGTGTACTTTGTGATACATGGATATGTGAGTTATCTCTCAGTTTAGCTGGATTTTTAAGTGTACTTGTGTCTCTTCTGCCCACCACAAATCACAGTATGTTGTAGATGGCAGGAAACATTTAATTATTTATTTTTTTTTTTTATGAAACATTTATTTAATGAAGAAATAACCTTCTTCCTTTACTGTTTTTTTCCACTCACAGAAAACAGCTGCTGAGCAGAGTTTGGAGGATACCAGGCAGCAGCTCTTGGCGGCCAGAAGCAGCCAAGCCAAGGCCATGGACACCCTGGAGACCCGGGTAGTGACCTTTCTCCCAGTGCTTCCTGTGTTGGGTAGACCCTGGCTGCATACCACATGTGGCTGAGAATCCCCTTGGTCAAGGTTGCTCCATTGAAGGGACTGTTTTTTGTCTTTCTTATCCCAGGATGAGTTAGTCATTTCCTTCACTCTTGCCACATTACCATCACTGTTCTACACACAGTTACTTTGCTAGTTCGTTTTATTCCCATTGACCTCCCTCTGTAGGAAACCTTATCATTCAAATGTGGTTACTGTATTGATTAGATCCTTTCATGTTTGAATTATTGTCGAATGGGTAGGACCTGCTGGAGGAACTGAGTTACCCGAGAGATGTGCGTGTTTTCCTAGTGGTGTAAGTGATACAGCTGTGGGTGTGCCTCCCCGTCTCCTCCACCTGGCCCATCTCTACCTCCACGTTACTGTGCTTACCAGCTCTACTTGGAGCTTGCCCACTAGATGGCAGGCATCCAGACTGCCTTCCTGCCATCCCACACTCCGCTGTATACTGCAGCAAAGGTTGTGCTCCTGTTCCTGGCGATGATTAGAAAACCCATATCACCTCGGCTGGTCTTGAAGTGCACTGGCCAAGTACTGTGCATTGGGAGCCAGATCCCTCATGGTCAACATCTGCTTTTTCTTTTTTGAAGGGGTTTTTGCTATAGGGCGCATGTGCTCGCCAGACAGAGACAGAAAGCGAGAAATCACCCCCCAGGGGGGATGGCCACGTCACAGTCCCTTCTCCTCCATTCTCCTCTCGGGATCTTGGGCACGCATGCACACGCGCCTGGCGTGAGTTTTAAGCCACCGGGTCAGGGACGCGAACCACGGTTGACTACATGGGAGTCCAGCGACATAGCCATTATGCTAACTCCTAGTCCCCAACCATGAGTTCAAATCCTTGAAAGACATAACAGGTATGAATGCACGCATGTCTAAAATCCAGACAAGATGGAGAAATAGAGAAAAAGGAATTGCAGCATGACCACACCTCATTGGAGATGCTCTCTCTCTTTCTCTCTCTCTCTCTGGCAAGCACACATGCCTTTTGACAATTAAGAAAAAAATGTACATAACCTAATGTGACTAAAGATTGTTTCCAGAAGATCTGCTCCTTCTGGCTCGCCTCTGTTGTGTGTGAAAGATCATATATCTGCATCTCTGCCTTCCACAAAATTCCTTTTCCTAGCCTTTTGATTTGTTGCCAGATATGCATGTAAAGTAGTATTTCATTTTTTTAAACTTCACTTCATTTTATTTATTCATTCATTTATTTTAATTTGACCAGAGAGAGACAGACTAATACACACACACAGAGAGAGAGAGAAAGAGAGAGAGAGAGGGATGGTGAGAAAGCAAGCCACCAGGTCCAGGACTCGAACCGTGTGGCTGGCCATGTGGGAGTGTCCAGCGCCTTAACCACCATGCCACCTGCTGGTCCCATATTTCACTGTGTAAATTTGCATTGCAATGGTTAAATTAATTTGGCCATCTCTTCATATGCCTATTAAGTCTTGGAAGTTTACACTTAGGAATTGTCTGCTCCTGTCCTCTGCCTGTTTTTCTTTATGGGCTCCAGTCTTTTCTCATTTGGTCTCATGTATGTTTTTTTTTTTTTTTTCTCATTTTACATTTTCTGTAATGTACCTGTTTCATTATTTAAGTTGGTTTGATGTTTAAAACCATTTATCAGTACTTGTCAACTTCTCTGAGCAGCAAGAATGCTTCTGTGTCCCTCTAGGTGAAAGAACTAGAGCAGATGGTGCAGGCCTCTGAGGAGCAACTCCAGCACAGCAGGGATGTCGTGGCTGCCCAGGAAGCACAGATTCTAGAGCTTGTAAGTGGCTAGGAGCTGCTTGAGGTTCGTCCTTTTGGGTTTGCAGATGCCCCAAACTCACTCCCAACTCCTAGAGTGGCCCTGACCTTGGACACAGCTGTTGTGCTGTTACGCTGCGAGCAGGTGGACAGCAGCAGGGGGTGGGAGGCAGGACCTGCTGGAGGAACTGAGTTACCCGAGAGATGGGCTGACCAGCTGATTTGCATTGCTGTCGTGCCCAGCCCAACTTTGGGACTCTTGGAGATGGTAGCTCCACCAGGAGCCAAACCTCTGCTTGCTGCCAGGAGTGTGGAGAGCATATTGAGACTGTGGGAGGAGATGACAAAGGCGTGGCCAGTCCTCATGGCCCAGTTGGTGCTAGGGAGATAAAAGCCGCGGCTCTGACTCCTGTGTGCCGTGTCCCAGGCACTCTGCTAAATGCTTTGCCCATGTTTTCATTGAGTCCTGGCAGTAGCCCTAAGCTGCACTGTCCTTCTCATTCTGCAGAGGAGCAAGCTCACAAGGGCTGCACATAGGCTGGCCCATAGTCCCACAGCCAGGCAAGGGCGAAAGGTCAAAAGCCCTGTCCTTCACCACCATGTTATACTGCCACCCTCAGAGGGAAAAGCCATAGAGGAAACACTACGCAGGGAGGAGGAAGCCTGTGCTGAGGGCCAGCTAGAGCCCAGAGCCACCCACAAGCCCTGAGAGCAGTAATGGCATCAAGCCTGGGCCAGACTACCTCCCAGCAGTCCAGGCCAGCCAGTGCAGTGGCAGAGCCTGCAGGTAGGGAGTTCAGTCACCCCCAGCAGTAGACACCCAGGAGGGAGAGTTGTTGCTGTTGGGCCACAGAAGGCCAGAATGAGGTCCCCCTCTGAAAGCCCTTGTCACTGTGGCCAACTCCCCTCTGGTATCCCTGCAGGCTACTGCAAACCAGGAAAGCAGCCATGCACAGCAGCAGGTCCTGGCTCTGGAGCAACAGTGCGCCCAGCGCACCCATGCCCTGCAGGCCCAAATCCAGGCCCTGGAGAGTGCGCGGGCGGCTGAGCAGACTGCGGCAGAACAGGGGCTGGTGAGTGACTGCGGGGTGAGGCCGAGCTCAGGGCCTCGGCAGTAGCCCTAAGCTGCACAGTTTGGGTTGCACATACTAGGTGTGCTAAGTGGGAAGGACAGCCCCGACTCTGGAGGAGGGAGCCATCTCACAGAGCAGGCCTGGTCTTTCTAGCGAGACAACCACTTGTGAGACTATATGTGAAAAGGCTGCCTTTTATAAAAATCCAAAACAGTTGGATTTCTTTTTCCTTGGGCCTCATAGGGGCTCTCTGGGCCTTTCTGACCTTTCCCCAGAGCTGCTTCCTATTGTCCTTCTAAGTTTTATATTGCTCCTCTCTCTCCCTATCCCACAGTCTAGAGAATTGTGCACCTCATTCCTTCTTTTTTTTTTTTTGGAGAGGTTTTTGCTATAGGGCGCGTGCGCTCGCCAGACAGACAGAGAGACATAGAAACAGAAAGCGAGAAATCACCCCCCAGGGGGGATGGTCACGCCGCAATCCCTTCTCCTCCATTCTCCTCTCGGGATCTTGGGCATGCTCGCACATGCGCCTGGCGTGAGTTTTAAGCCACCGGGTCCGGGACGTGAACCGCAGTCAACTACATGGGAGTCCAGCGACATAGCCATTACGCTAACTGCTGGTTCCCACCTCATTCCTTCTTGAGAGGAGTTCTTAATTGATTCTTTCTCACTCTCCTCCCATTCTCATCTCTTAGCCCTGTAGTGACAAAAACAAAAAAACCCAGAAAGGCATTTTCAAAGGTATCATGTTAAAGAGAGAAAAGTGGGGACCAGTGGTTAGCATAATGACTGTCGCTGAACTCCCATATAGTTGACCGCGGTTTGAGTCCCAGACCCAGTGGCTTAAACTCAATGCCAGGCTTGTGTGCGTGCTGCCAAAGATCGGGAGAGGAGATGGGAGGAGAAGGGTCTGGGGGGTGATTTCTTGCTTTCTGTCTCTCTGTCTCTCTCTGGAGAGCACACACGCCCTGTAGCAAAAACCTCTCGAAAAAAAAAAAAAAGAGAGAGAGAAAAATGTACCCAGGATGACGATGGTAGTTAAGACCTTTTCTTTTTACATATATTTTTCTCAATTTGCAGAGAGAACTGGAACAAGAAAACGCATTTCTTAAAGAATAGGAATGAATGTGAGCGTTCTTTACAACATCACCAGTTTGAGCTAAAGAAACTAAAGGTATTTATCTCATCAAATCTGAATGGCACCACAGTACTCTTGTCTCTTACAGGTGTGCTGGGAGTGGCCAAGGAGGGGTCCCAGACTGACAGTGGAGCAAGAGTGGAGCTCGTGTTTGTCCGGGAGTTCTATTAGGTAGAGCAGGAGTAGAACTCACATTTGTCCAGGAGTTCCATTAGGCAGCTGCTAGAAGTAGTCACTTCATTCCTCTTGAGTTAGGACGGCAGAGAAAATTGTGCTTACTGGGCAAGTAATGTCACTGTGTTTCCAAGTGTGAGTACTTTGAATTCCACACTTAGAGGTGGTCTGGGTCTGGTTTTTCACTTCTCCAGGGAAGCCCAGCCTTTCCTTGGGGTATTTCAACAACTATCTGCAAGCAAGGCTGTGGAAGGGCCTCTCTGGCTAATGATTCCAGTGGGGCCGATTCTAGTGGGGCCGGTACAGCAAAGCCACAGACAGGCATGAGGCCCTTGGTTGGTATCAGGACCCAGGTAGAGAGATGAAGAGACTATCTGCTGGTTTGTTACCTTTTCCTTCTACAAACCTGGCCCTTTAATCAGCTGTTGTCTCCTTCGTTAGCTGAATACAGCCGGATGAAGAGGCCTAGGCTCCCCTGTCCCTTTTCACCTTGGCTGGTGGGTTATTGCTGCACTTGCCCAGCTCATGACAAAGATCTTATGGAGCCTTTACCCGAGATCCTCTCTGAGAAAATCCGCAACTGAGTGCCTGCACCTAGTGAGCTTTCACCAATAGCATGGAGAAGCTACTTAGGCATGAGAACAATAGTGCTGTACCCGGGGGAAGCCTGTACTTTGGAGTCAGTATCTTTTCATGCACTCTATCAACAAATATTTGAGTACTGTAAGTGCCAGGCACCATCGTAGGTGCTAGGACGTGGCAAAGGACAAAATGGACCAATTGCTACCCCATGGAGCTGGTAACTAGAAACAGCAAACAAGTATTCAGTCGTGGTAAGTGCTATACGGAACATAAAGGAGGGCAAAGGGCGGCAACCAGGGAGGAAGTTAGGAAAGGCTTTGGTGGTATTTGAGCAAAAGATCTAAGGCCAGCAGTGCGGCTATTTGGGGAAGGAATATTCCAGGCAGAAGAGATTAGCAATTGTAAAGTCGCTGAGGCAGAGAGAAGCTTGTTCTGCTCAGAGAACAGCATGAGGGCCTGTGTGGCTGCAGCTTCTTGACTAGCAGAGCGCTGAGGCTGAAGAGTGAGGAGCAGACAGGTTAAAAGTGTCATGGGAAAAAAAAAAGTGTCATGGGAGCCGTCACCAACCTTATACAGAGAACTAATGTAAGAGGTATTTCTCTGGCTCTTCATAGAAGAGTATTGTGTAAGGAAGGCACAGATAGAAGCAGTCAGATTTTTTTTTTTTTGCCGTTGGGTGCATGTGCTTACGGGAGAGAGGGAGAAATCACCCCCCGGGGGGATGGCCACGCCGCAATCCCTTCTCCTCCATTCTCCTCTCGGGATCTTGGGCACGCACACACACGTACCCGGTGTGAGTTTTAAGCCACCAGGTCCAGGATGCCAACCGCATTCGACTACGTGGGAGTCCAGCGACATAGCCATTACGCTAACTGCTGGTTCCAACCCAGCATTATTTTTCAAGCCACTCGAACTGCAGTAGGCCATGCGGGAGTCCAACGACATGACCATTGCACCACCTGCCGGTCAGGCGATCCTTTAGGCTTTTTAGTAATCCAGGCCAGGGCTAACGTGGCAGTAGTGGGTTTGGAAAGGAGTATCCAATTTAGGAGCTATTTAAGAGATGGAGCTTTTAACATTTGGTACTGGTTAAATGAAGGGATCAAGAGAAAAAGGAGCTAGAGAAGACTCCTCAGTTTGCTTTGCGTAGCTCAGGTTTTCTCAGCCTTAGCACTGTTGACAGTCGAGGCTGGATACTTCTTCATGGGGAAAGCTGTGCTATAAATGCGCACTGTGGGCTGTTAGGAGCATCTGCCCACTCAAGGTCTGTAGCTGCACCTACTTGGGAGAACCCAAAATGTCTCTGGACATTGCCAGCTATCTCTTGGGAGGCAAAATCACCCCTGGCAGAGAACCACTTGGATACCTGAATGAAATAGTGGTACCATTCACCAAGATGGAGGTCTGAAGAATTATGTCAGGAGTGGATTCTGAGGCCCAGCTGCAATGATACACACTGCCAAGACACTGTATTCGGCAGGCTTGGACCAAATGGGAAACTAATTCAACCTGAAGGCTGGATGCACCTGTAATTTCAGCAGTTGCCACCAGGTGGTGTGGAGATTAAGGCAGCTAGATCCCACATGGCCAACTGCACAGTTTGAGTCCTGGACCTGGCTGCTTGAAAAACATACCAGGCATGTATGCGTGCATCCCCAAAATGCCAAGAGGAGAATAGAGGAGAAAGGATTGCGGCATGGCCATCCCCACTGTAGGGTACTTTCTTACTTTCTCTCTTTCTCTCTCTGTCTCTCTATCTCTTGGGCAAGTACACATACACTACAGCAAATTTTTTTAAAAGTCAGAAGAGAGGGGACCAGCAGGTGGCTTGGTGGTTAAGGCACTGAATACTCCCACATGGCCAACCATGGTTTGAGTCCCAGACCTGGTGGCTTACTTTCTTGCTTTTTTTTTTTTTAACTTTCTCTCTTGTCAAATGAATGAATAAATTAATTCTTTAAAAATATCAGAAAATAAGCAAGAAATCAAACTCAAAGAAGGAAAAAATAATATAAGAGCACAAATTAAATAGAAAATAAAGTAAATGAGATCCTGTCATAATAAAGAGGATAAGGGACCAGCAGTTGGTATAATTGTTATGTCACTGAACTCCCATGTAGTTGACTGCGGTTTGAGTCCCAGACCTGGTGGCTTAAACTCACGCCAGGCACATGTGCATGCATGCCCAAGATCCCGAGAGGAGAATGGAGGAGAAGGGATTGCGGCGTGGCCATTCCCCCTGGGGGGGGTTGATTTCTCACTTTCTGTCTCTCTCTCTGGTGAGCACACACACGCTATAGCAAAAACTTCTAAAAAAAAAAAAAAAACCCAAAAACCTCTATTGCATTTGCTGTAGAGGATAAAATAAATAGATGAATAAAGAGGATGAGTAGACCCTGAAGTTGATCCCTTGAAGACTAATACAATTTTACAACTCAGCAAGGCTGATCAAGAAAGAAAAGAGGTGGCACAAATGACCAGTCTGGAATGAAAAGGAAAAATTACTACATATCCTGTAGACATAAAAAGATAAGAAATAGAAACAACTTGATGCTACTACATTTTACAAGTTATATGAAATGGCAAAATTCTAGAAAATTGAACTTAGTGAGGCCAGCAGATAGCATGGTGCTTAAGGCACTAGACTCCTATATGGCTGACCATGATTCAAGTCCCAGACCTGGTGTCAGGTCACCAGGCATGTGTGCATGTGTGCCCAAAATCCCAAGAGGAGAATGGAGAGAAGGGATTATGGCACGACCATCCCACTGGGGGGTGATTTTTTCACCTTCCTTCTCTCTGTCTGTCTCTCTGGCAAGCACATGTGCCCTATGGCAAAAACCTAAAAAAAAAAAAAAAAATACTCCCACGTGGCCAACCATAGTTCATGTCCCAGACCTGGCAGCTTGCTTTCTCACTTTCTCTCTTTGTCTCTGGTGAGTGTATATGCCCTGTAGCAAATTGAAAGTAATAATAACGATAAATAAAATAAAAATAATTCCTTAATTGAAGGAAAAACAGAGTTTAGCAAACCCATGTGGTAGGCTGAATAATAACCTCCAGAGATTCCTACATCCTAATCCCTAGAACTTTGTATGAGAAAAAGACCGCTACAGATGTTATTAAATTAAGGATCTGGGGATGGGGAGGTAATTTTACATCATTTGGGTGGGCTATAAATGTAATTACAACTTTGCTTATGAGAGTGAGACAGAGAGAGATTTCACTCAGAAGGCCTAGGGCAATATGAGAATGGCAGCAGAGATGCAAGGTGCTAACCGGTGACTTAATATGGAGGAGTTGGCCACAGGCCAGAGTGCAGTTCTGGAAGCTAGAAGAGGCAATAAAGTGGCCTTTTTACTTTTCAGAGGCTTGGAGAACATTGCTGACACCTTGGCTTAGCCCCATGAGGCTCAATTTGGATTTCTGGCTTCCAGAACTATGAGATAATAAGCTTCTGTTGTTTTAAACTGTTAATTTCATGGTAATTTGTTACAGCAGCTATAGGAAACTAGTACACTACACAAGAAAAAACAGAAAATCTGACCATACTGTGTCAGTCACAGCCCAGTTAGAAGATAGGACCCACCAGTTACTCGACAGGAGCATATATTCTGTTGTAAAGTTTTTAACCAAGTGGAGAAACAGTTAAAAGATATTACAAAGTAAGGCTGTATGCATTTACCTTGGGGCCAGCAAGTTGCATGGTGGTTCAGGCACTAGATTCCCACATGGCCAACCATGGTTCAATTCCTGGACCCTGTAACTTATGTAATCATACCTGGGGACCAGCAGGTGGTGTGGTGGTTAAGGTGTTGGACTCCAACATGACCATAGTTTGAGTCCCAGGCCTGGGGGCTTATTTCCTCATTTTCCCTCTCTCTCTGTCTCTGTCTCTCTTGGTGAGCACACATGCCCTACAGCAAATTTTAAAATAATTCTAAATAATTTTTAAAAATAAAAGAAAAATCACATCTGGCACATGTGCATGCGTGCCCAAAATCCTGCAAGGAGAATGGAGGAGAGGGGATTGCAGTGTGGCCATCTTCCCAGGGGGTGATTTCTCATTTTCCCTCTCGCTGTCTCTGTCTCCTTCCAGCAAGTGCACATGCCCTATCATAAAAACCTAAAAACAAAACAAAACAATGTTAAGTCTGTGATTTCAGAAGGCAGTTTACCATCCTAGGGAGGAAAGGAGCAAGGTGAAGAAGGTGGGATTACCAAATCTCGGAAGTGGGAAGCAGAGCTCCAGATGTGACACTCATACCTCTGAGAGAGGAAGTGTACAGTTGGTGCTGGGGTGTATGTCGGGGCTGATAGAATGCTGGGTTCAGCTGCAAGTGCTAAGAAAACTGCAAAGCAAGTGCAGCTGCTACCTCAGGCAGACATTGCTGTTGTCAGGGCAGAGAAGCCTTGTGAGTTCCCAGTGGAAGCTTGTGGAAGGAGGCACCTGCAGCCTTCCAGGTTTCCTCGAGCTCCCTCTGTTGGCCAGTTTTAGGCCAAGCAGTCTCAGGCCTAGCATCGTGGGGCTGAATATAAAAAGTGAGTATGGGCTATGAGACAACAACTCACAGGTTGCTTAAAAGTGTGGTTAGCTGGGCCAGCAGGTGGCGTGGAGATTAAGGTGCTGGGTCCCACCTGGCCAGCTGAGCAGGTCTCATTTTTTTCTCTCTCACTCTAAGCACAGGCTGAGTAGTTCAAGTCTCAGGCCCAGTGGCTTGAAAATCATGCTGTGTGTGTGCATGCCCATGATTTCAAGAAGAGAAGGGATTGTGGCATGGCCATCCTCCCCGTTGGTGATTGATTTATCTCTCTTTCTCTCTCTCTCTCTCTCTCTCTCTGGCGAGCACATAAACCCTATGTGAAAAACTAGAGAGAAAAAAAGTGTTAGTTTCTGAACCTTTGTGGGTTTTTTCTGGATATTTGCAGTTTAATACCATTTTGATCAGGTCATACTCAGAATAATTTCAGTCCTCTGGTATTTATTCAGGTTTGTTTTATTACCTAACCTATAGCTTTTATTTATTTATTTAGAGATTTTTGCTATAGGGCACATACACTTGCCAGAAAGACAGAGAGAGAAAGTGAAAAATCACCCCCTCAGAGGGGATGACCACACCACAATCTCTTCTCCTCCATTCTGCTCTCAGGATCTTGGGCACACACGCACACGTGCCTGGCATGAGTTTAAGCCACTGTGTCCCGGACTCGAACCACGGTCAACTACATGGGAGTCCAGCAGTGTAACTATTATGCTATCTGTTGGTCCCATAACTTTATTTATCCACTTACTTATTTAATTTGACCATGCCACTTGCTGTGAGAGAGAGAGAGAGAGAGCAAGCTGCCAGGTCCGGGACTTGAACCATGGTCAGTCATGTGGGAGTCCAGCACCCTTAACTACCAGGCAACCTACCAGCCCCTATTACCCAATTAGTTTGTCGTGGCAAATATTTCAGTGCACTTTGGAAAGATATGTATTTGCTGCTGTCAGAGCATTCTGTAATGCTAACTTAGGTCCAGTTGGTCAATAGTACTGTTCAATAATTTGATATGTTTTCTGATCATTTTCATCTGCTTGTTCTCAGTTCCTGAGAAAAGTTTGCTACATCTTCAGCTATGATTGTGGATTTGTCTCTTTCTTCCTCTAGTTCTGTCAATCTTTGCTTCACGTATTTCTAAGTACTACTGTTAGGTATATACAAATTTAGAGTATTTTTTTTTTAAAGAGAGAGATTTTTACTATAGGGTGCATGTGCTCATTGGAGAGACAGAGAGAGAAAGCAAGAAATCACCCGTCAGGGGGATGGTCATGCCACAGTCCCTTCTCTTCCATTCTGCTCTTAAGATTTAGGGCATGCACACACAGGCATCCAGCATGTGTGTGAAGCCACCAGGTCCTAGACTCGAACTGTGACCAACGCATAAATATGGGAGTCCAGCACCTCAGCCACCATGCCACTTGCTGGCTCCTTTGTCCATATTTCTCAAAACGGCTGTTCCCTGAGTTCCTGCTGGGAAGTTACACCCGGGTGCAGAGAGCTGCTGCATTGGGAGGCCTGGGGCTCCTGCGGGACTTTGGATCTGGCATCCCACAGTCACAGTCTTAGTCCCGGGTTGATCTGGTCCTGTGGTGCTATTATGGACTTTAGAGCCATTGTCTCAGGTCTGTGTGCTGACCCAGTCCTACACTAGCTGATTCTTCAAGGAATCTATGTTCCTTTTTTAAAAACTGGAGATGGCAGCATCTGACCTCAAGAGGATTACTCTGAGGGTCTAACATGACTGTGGATGAAAAGTACGTGGTGCAGTTCCCCAGCATGGAGGTGCCTCAGTCTCTCCTTCCCGCCTTTCCTGTTTTCTCACAGCTGACAGGCCTCCTGCCCTCCCTCCCAGACCTCAGCAGTGCTAGGTATTTCTTCTAAACTTCCCCCAGAAAGGCTCCCAGGGAGGTATGGCATTCCCATCACCTTCCCTGCTTGGCACTCTCCTCTCCCAGTCCTCTCCAGCAGACTGAAGCCTCTTGCTCCTTTTCATAGATAACAGAGCTGCCTCTACACCCATGTTTGAGAAAAGCAGGTGGTCAGAGAACCCTGATGAGGGGAGTGTCTGGGGAGCTCAAAGCCCCTGATCAGTCTGTTTTCGTCTGCCAGAGATAGACTCAAGTAGGGTCAGCTGTGACACCTCCAAGGTAGGAGCCGGCATGTCCCTGTCATGGAGTTGACATCTCTGCCGCTACCCCACTGTCCTCACACAAGTGGTCGGGAACTTTCTTAGTAGTTGGATGTTCAGGGGTCTGGAAAGACTGGTCAGACTGGAACTGGACCCTTCAGGACTTCTCTCTTCCTGCCTCAAGCTGCCTCTTGCCTGGCTGCCTCCTTGCTTTTCTCCATCATGTGTCCTGTGTTCTGCGGACGGAGAGGACGAGGACATGCCCATAGCGGCTGTAAGCTTGGAACCTTCCAACTTGGCACCCCAGGGAAAAGAGGTCCCCTCTTGCTAGCTTCACCATGTGAAGGGTTTCTGATATCAACAGAAGTACTGGTTGGCTCATCATGGGTGACAGAGCCACCCTTTGAGAGAATTCATTTGGTCAAGAGGATGAGGTACTGTGGCTGGCCAGGACTGAATCTCCTGCCACAAAACGAGGGTGTCATGTTTGGTAACCCCAAGAACCATGTGGAATTGCCAATTTGGAGTGGGAGATAGGAATGATGAGGCTCCTACTCAGAAAAAGGAGAGGGGATTGGGATGGTCAGAAACTGGCCATCACCGTGTTTTCTCCAGGGCATCTCTCGGGTGGCCTCAGGTATCAAGAAGGCAGGCTGAGGAAGTAAAGGTGCTTGCTGAGCTGCTTAGAAGGAGAGGGCAATTTAAATTTTAAATGGCCCAGCAAGGCCTGGCCTGAGGCTTTGGTTACACTCACAGCTGTGTAAACTAACCTGCAAAGGTTTTCACATTGCCACCCACACCTCTTCCTCATCCCAGCATCTCCTTCTGAATGTAAAGGGGGTACAGCCAGTCAGTCTTGCCAGACAATTGTAACTTCCCTCATCTTGTCCTCTGTTACATAAAGCAGCTTTCTAAACCACCATTTCAATGAGCAAATGTCCAGGAATCCTGAGACTTCATCTGGGCAATTTGTCCTAAGCTCTGATTCTAATAAACCTCTTTTATGTCACTTATTCATCAACCGCTC